GGTCACATCATCGGTTTGGAACATCACTGCCAGTAGGACTGCACTTTCCCATGTCCAAAAAGGATTCTCCCAAGTATAAGGTGCACTGGCACAGGGACAAGACCCTGTAAAGTAGCAGCAACCCCAGAAAATCGATGACCATGTCACTCCCACTATCTATTCGACAGGCTTGAGCAGGACAGGCCCTGCTACCGGGAAAATTTCCGGAAAACACGACCCCTCCCCCAAAACCCTCCTCTCTGATGCGCCCCGTTTTACCTACCACCCTAGCAAACATCCCCAGCTTCCTACCAGTTTTTTTTCGGGACCTCCCGAAAATTTTCGTTTTTTCCCAAAATTTTGGTGTCGAGCGGCAACAGGGTAGGGGAAGAGGTCGACATAGTAGCGAACCCTTTCAATGTATCGAAAAAATCTCAGTGGTATCAATTCCATAACACCATCAACTAGAGGAAGGGCGACCTGATGGGACCTGCCTCCCTCCGCGGAGATTCCCCGACGTACAACGTGCCCCGCGTTCAAAACAGTCAGTGGTCCAAGGGGCTTCTGATGAAACAATCTATAGACGCTAGCAAAGCATTCAGCGGAAAAAGACATTTTCAAAAGCTTGGTTATGAAGTAAGCCAACGTTTATGCGAAAACATTCAATAATTTGAAATGATTGGAAAATAATAATAACACCAAAGAAGGGACGAAACAAATTTAACGTGAGAGCGAAATTACTTTGCTGAAGAGGGTACACCGAGGGCCATGCTTAGTAAAAATGTGCCTTCATTAATTAATGGATCAGGCACCATAAAAGTGCAAGGCATTTCCTACTAAGCAAATTAATAATCTTTATCACACAACATCTGACTGAACACATACAGGCAGAAAAATTTAGCTTTTACGACATAACAAGATTACATTGATAATCCTACAGTTCACCTCGTTGGGCACGATTTTAGCTTTCCTACACGTACACCAAACGTTCACGAAATCGCATTTACAAATTACAGCCCTGAACGGTAATCCTACCAAAACGTACGCCGAGAACACAACAACGCAATCGTGCAGGTATAGGGGTAAAAAAACAAAACGGAAATGATTTCACCTCTCTAAGACAAGAATGTACATTTATATAAAGTTCATAATCCAAAAATAACAGTAACAACATGAACCAAAGAAATGCCTGTGAGAAAGGAAGATCACTTCCCAAATGAGAACTTTATTGGAGGCCGAACGGCACCACCCTTGTTGATAATAGCAAGCTGCTCATTCTTCTGCAGTGCACTCTTTTCTCGAAGTACTTCTTGTCGTTCACGTTCCAACGCACTTCGTTCAGCAAGCATGGCCAGCCGCTCCTCGTTGAACCTAGAGAATCACAAAATTAGCTCGTTCAACGCCTTCACCGCTGCCGCCGTCAATCTGTGCAACCTCAACGCCACGTGTTTATGCGATCTGAGGTCGTCAATTCCTCAATTTGGCGATGCGCCCTTCGTTAGCCATCATTGCTGTTCCTGGGAAAAAAGACCAGCGATGCCTTAACTGAGCAAATATGCTCACTTTCAACTGCTGAACGTTTTCACCTTGATCTAGATCTAGCCTGCAAACCACAATTGAGAACGGAAATAACAAACCTTTTTTCACTCTCATCGGCCTGTCGAACTTTCTCCTCGAGTTCTTTCTCAAGAGCGGCACACTTTGCCTTGGAGGCTTCCTCTCGCTTGCGTATGGAAGCCATTTCCTCTTCCATTTCGCCAAGTATTTGGGCTCTTAAGCGAGACTCCACCTCCGCTCGAGCTCTTTTTTGACTTTCCGTCATGGCCTCTTCCAATTTCTTCACCCTTTCGAGAACCTGAAATAAAAATACTGAATCACCGCGTCGTTGCACAACAGAAGAAAAATCATCTTTTATTAGGTGATGAAGCGCAACGAGCAATTATAAGCAGTCTAGCCGGAAAACAAACTGCTCCCACATCCTATCTTTACGATTTCAATTTTGCTGCACCGGCATAGATACGCAAAACGCTTTCACCGAACCTCTGCGTAAAATAACAGAATACCTGCAAGTAGTCCCAATAAGTTGCGTTGAAACTCGGTCACCATCCATCGACATGGACAATTGTTTCACGATATTTGTATAAAAACAAGACTCAATCGGTGTGGAAAACGATGGAGAAGAAAAGCGCACAAGCTACTAGCTAGCTTTTTGCTGGCTGAAATGGCAGCGCCATAGGCAACGATCGTTAGAAGAACGTCGCCTTCGTATTTGCGGCGAAGCACACACACACACCTTAACTGTGTCCTCTACCTACGAGCAAACCGACAGCCATTTTCTGCAATTATCAAGCTATCCTAGAACGACAAACATGATAATTTACTACTCAACACTAGAGTTTTATGTCAAGTTAGTTGAAAAACTGTCGGTTCACGAGTGACTGAGTTGTCAAAAAATGTCAGTCTCGAAGCAGAACACGAACAGATACCATTGAAGAATATACCAAGTTAAAAAGAAAAATTGTTATTACCTGTTCGGCAATTCTTTCTTCAAGCCATTCTCGTGCCTCCGTGGATATACTGGTGATATCAAAAGTACCTGTGAGCTCACGCTCAATTTCCGAAGACAACACGAGTCTGAAAGAAGCGGTAAAGAGGGCATCAAATAATAATGAGTCAACAAAAGTGCTAAATATCTGTAGGACACAATCACCATCCTTGCTATGTACAAGGCAGCTCTCATACTTTGCGGCGGCGTCCACTAGCCGAGCACCACGTCCCCCAGCGTCCAGGAGTGAAGATTATGGTGAAGTAAAAAGAAATCAGACTGCTGGTAGAGTATGGGGAAGCAGGAGGGAGCCGACAGCTGGGTTAGGCGAAATTTCGGCTTGTGTAACCGCACCGTACTACTACACAACACCGTACATTAAATTGCATAATTCTGTGCTTTAGCAGTTGTACGGTGCGGTTGCACACGCCGCAATTTCACGACGCCTTATTCAACTGCCCGCTCCCTTCTGCTTTCCCATACTCTCCATTCCTTGACGCTGGCTTTCGCTCGAAACGCCGGTGGACGCTGCTGCAAGGGATGAGTGTAGCCTACATTGTCCTACAGCTTTCTGTTTGTCTGATCGGCAGACCATCACGGCTATGGGAATACTGGGTTGGCTCAAAAAGTAATATACGGATGTGTGTGACGCAAACCTTATTGGGGGTGTAAAAGAACGGTCTACACGAAGCTACGAGGAGCGTTAATAATTTGCCTAACAGAATTAATTTGAAATGGCTAAATACCCAAGGCGGCTCCAAGAACACATTCTGATCGTTATAGCTCAACGATTCCTCCTTCAATCAAGTAATAGGGGAAATGCCTCGGTAGTCAGGACTGCAGCAGCAGAGACAGTATACTTCCATCATCCGAAAGTGTTCGCACAAAGGCGTCAGACCCGAGCGCAACTTGCAACTAGGCTATCGTTACTGTCTACACGACGACTTACACCGTGAATCACAACACATATGTTGTGTGTGGTAGAGATTTCATGAGCTCTTCGCGGGTTTCACGCCTGTTAACTTGTGTTGATTGCGCTGGCACTTACGAATCGTTCTGCACCGCCTGAATACCCTTTTTTGGGAGGAAACACATGCAATGAGATGCAATCAGCAACAAACGGCGCGGTTACGTATGGTAGTATTCGGCACTGGTCGACATCCACTATGATCGACGACTGCTGCCAACTGAAACGTAAATCGCGAGAGATTATTGTGATTACAATCTTGCACGCGGTTTTCTAATAAGCCTCACTCTAGTTCGCTGCGGACGGTTGGGCGCGTCAGGCAGCATGAATGTGTCACCCCGTCAGTACCGTTCTCTGCCTTCTTATTGAAGCGCGCATGCGACAAGAAGTGGTAGAAAACGAGTAACGGACAATATGATACAGTCATATCACTTGCTCGCTTTAACTGGTTATAGGAACGGGTTTGCCCCGCACCGGCCAAAGCTTATTACTGCCTGCAGCCCCACCGCCGCAGCGAACTTACACTATTACAGGGGGGGGGCAAATAAAAAAGTCACCTGACGATTTCATATCAAGCAAAGTTCTCACAGCCCAGACAGAGGACTGTAGTACCGGGCGGAGAATACCCAAGACCGCATTCAGCTCAGTAAGCAGGGAGCTGGCTCTCACCCAGCAGCTTCATGTACACCAAAATATGAAGTCATCTCCAGTCGCAGCCTGACTGGAGAGGACCTTTGGAATTCACGTCACCTCCAAAACAGCTGTTGAAACATTCTAGTTCACCCATGGATTGATGTATGGACCGGACGTACTGAATGGTAAAGACCAAATACTTGTCTCCGGGACGCGGACTGAGGTGAGCGCTGGCGGTTACATCGAGCAACTCGAGAAGAATATCCTCCCCACATGTCGTCGTCCCGTACCTTCTTGGAAACTTTGTACTGCTACAGCATTGGGTGCCACCACATGGAATCGGAAGGCGTTGGAAAAACTCGCCTACTGAACGGCCAAGGGGGTGAGTAACACAACAACACGTGAAGAAGATGGAAATTCGAGTAGGTCACTGCGACCTACAATCCCCCCATTTACCCGGTTTCGGGCAAAAGGGGCGTAGGTTTCAATAGGGTGGTCTACGGTGGCGGAGAAATCGACTATCTCGCTGATCTCAGGCACCACATCGCGGTCGCGTGCCAGAATCTCTCGATGGCGCTCGTCCAGAAGGCTGCGGTGGTGTCATGATAGTATGGTGAAATGCTCTTCAAGATGTGCGGGAAATTCCGATCAGAATGTTATAAAGTGCTAACTTAGTAGCACATCAAAGTCAAGAGAAGTGACTTATTTATTGGCCTCTAGTATTCCTTTTTTTCTTTGTCCTTATGTATTTTTCCCCAAAAAAAAAATTTTTTTCCCTGCTGACCTTCATGCTCATTTACTACCCTTTTATGATGCACAAGAATACGGTGAGTCACGGGCATGCACAGAGACTGGAGGCTGCTCACTCTGGCCCATCAAATCCCTGTTAACCGTATACCGTGCGACGGCCAACGTCTGTCAACGTAACCGACGTAACCGACGTTTTCTGCGACTACTTCACGAGGACGAAATATGCATTGATCCGACGTAACCGACGAAAGCTGCGTAACCGACGACAGAAGATTAGATACGGATCGATATCGTATACAAGTAGCCGAAAACGTCGTTTACGTCGACGGACGACGACGTCGCACGGTATGAGCGCAGCCTTAGCCACCCTACACGTCCATAAGTGTTTTTCGGACCTAACGGACAGGAGAACAGTGAGGTTTCGGCATCACCCGTAAGCAATACGGGTGATATCCCGTGTTACTTGATGTTCTCCAGGTGATATCATGTGATGCACAAGAAAGTGTGCATTAGCCAAGCTGATTACTTGTTATGAGGCGCTGCTGTCGCTGGTTAAGCAGTTTCAAATCGCTCAAGCACGATTAGTTGATGCGACTTGATGCTAAGCTTCCAATAACCGCTAAGGCAACAGTCTAAAAATGAGGTTCTCCAACAATCGTGGTATCTGTGTCGTGAACCTTAACAACAAATAAAATAAAACCCACCTTCGCTTATCACGGTCCTTTTCCCGGTCACGATCACGATCACGGTCGCGGTCTCGATCGCGATCCCTGTCCCTATCCCTATCAGATCGGTCTCGATCGCGGTCGCGCTCTCTGTCTCGACTGCCGCTTCGACTTCGTCGTGATCGTTCCCGGAGAATGCTGCCAAGCTTGTGTGATTCAGAAGTATCACTTGATCCATCTCGTCTTCGTCGTTTCTTGTCCTTTTTCTTCCTATCGTCGATGCGATCTCGTCTTGGTGAACGTGATCTCGACCGAGCCATTCCAACAACACTGCAATACAAAACGATTCCGCTCAAAATGCGAATGCTTCTAATAGATACCGTCCTAGTGATAATACGAAAACAAAACTAGCTCAACATGACAAAACAGAAAGTAGCAGACCACGTACTGCCGCTGGGGAAAGTTTTCGGAAAATACGATCCCCTCACAATTTCATACTTTGCTACGACCCCCTCCCTTGTTCCACGAGCAACTACGACCCCTCCCCCCTCCCATCAATGACTGAATACGACTCCTCTGCTGGGGATTCCCCAAGGCAGGACGTATCCCAGAATGCAGAAATAAGAACACGAGACAACAAGGGAAAAGAAAATAGGAACATAACGATTTGAGTGTATGATATAAGTCTGCACATCATCGGGTCTGAGGTGCCACAGAAGCGGTCACTGGACATCTACTAGACAAGCAAAGAGAGCAGAAATGCCAGTTGGAGTGATAAGGATCTACTTGGCGAAATTATAGCTGTACAAGTGAAAAGAACAAGGAACCATGATACGGAGTTTCTCACCAAAGAAATACAATGCGATTCAGTACCACCACATGTACATTCTTCAAAAAGCTACATACAGCCAACCAAAGTTACATACGAGCACGCGCACCGGCGACAAAAATTCGATACACGAACAGTTCAGCCGTCGTTTCAAGTGTGTAGGGCGTGGTGCACCCGCCACACTTGCGGCGGCCATTACCGTGACCATGAATCCCTGCGGTACAGTGCTCACTGATACGTTCCCCAGGACACGTCATTAATTGGGGATGTTGGCTGAGCCCATACGACCCCTCCCTTTATTAAGGGGTTTGGTACGACCCCCCCCCTTCCTCATCCTACCGCCGACCGATCCTCCTTTCGCGTGTGAAATGGGTCCTAGTGAGAAGTTTTCCATGAGTGGGAGCCCCCCCCCTAGAAGACAGTCGTCAAAATTTTCTATGCGGCACTCCCCTTAGTGATGAGGAATCGCAGAATTAACTATGCCGACGGTAGCAACCATTTAGTACACTGTCTAGGGTTATCCCTCACTAACTTCATCTGCCAAACCATTCAGTCAGTTTCACCTTACTCCCATTTCGTGGGGTTTTTCGTATGCGTTTTGAGGATTTTTGCCCTCGGCACCGTTCACTTCGGCGAACGCCCCGCCCGTCAGGGGTGTGCTTCACTTATTTCGTCCGCCAACTGATTGCCTATCATTTGCCACTTCTCCACTCTCCGAGCTCTTTTGGAAACCGAACTACGAATTTTTGAAATTTTCGTAGCAAGCATCGCCCACCTATAGAACGCCCCGCCCAGAATGGGTTTGTCTCACTCATTTCGACCGCCAACCGATTGCCTATCGTTTGCCACTTTTTCCGCTCTTGGGGCTCTTTTGGAACCGAACTACGAATTTTTGAAATTTCGTAGCAAGCCGCCCACCTATAGAACGCCCCGCCCAGGATGGTGTCTCACTCATTTCGTCCGCCAACCGATTGCCTATCGTTTGCCACTTTTTCCGCTCTTGGGGCTCTTTTGGAACCAAACTACGAATTTTTGAAATTTGTAGCTCACAACTGTGCGCACGCCCCGCCCACAGTGGGCGGGCCTAGCTTAGTTCATGTGTGTTCCGTACATCTTGGCCCATGCCCTACCCAACCCACCCTTGACCCGCCCCCTCCAACTGGCTCTTCAGGTGATTCCGAATTTCCGGACAGACAGACAAACAGACAGACAGACAGACAGACGTTGCCGTTTATATATAGTAGGATCCCTGAGACGGGGTAGGCGTGGCATTCGAACATGGCACGGAACTGGTTACTCGTGGGATATTTAAATTTCAGACAACCGCCATCTTGTTCGTTGGAAAAAGACGTGACCACATTTGGGTCAAAATGAAAATGTCTTTCCAAGAGCACAGCCACCACGACGTTTAGTTGAAGTACGCAGCCACGCCTACCTCATCTCAGGGATTTCGAGTGTACCTTGTGGCTATTATACGAAACGCTCCGAGGGACAATAGTTCAACAAACAAGCCTGGTGGTTTCAGTTTTCAATTAGCTCCATCGAACTAACTGACTAAATCTTCTCCGAAAATTTTACTCAATAAACATAGCACTAAGGTTGCAAAAAATTTAGGGAGCTAGAGAGGGAATGCCCTTAGATTCGCTAGTCGTTCCATCAAGAAGGTACAACTTCCGCGTCAAAGTAATACAAGATTACAGGATAGGGTAATGACATTGATAAGATGGGACATTGATAATGGGTGACAAGTAGCGATACATAACAATTTGTATAATAAGAGTGAACTTTTAGTACATTTTTTGAGACCACTATAACTACCATTCGAGACTGGAAGTCTCAGGAAATGATCACAATTCATCTCTTCTTCAGACTCAATAGAAGCAAAAGCTTACGTAATCGCTGAGGCAGCGTTCATACTTCGCGACAGCAGTGGCGATCGCCGCGATCGTCGGTACGCGTCAGAGCGCGCCCCAACGCTATTACTTGGACCGCTCCGAGTGCTATTAGGAGGAATTGGCTTAATTTCCTGCTTTTTTTCTTTTAATTGCAATTGACTCAGGTACTAGAGTTCGTTTTGACTCAAGGAAAGGTGGATGAACTTAATGGCTTTTCTTTTCTATTTTCTTTTTTGATTCAGGATAGAAATGAGCAAAAAGCAGGAGGGCTTCATTTAGGGTAAGTTTCTTATTGTTTCTTTTTCATAGTTTGAGCTTGTACATAAAATTATAGAGTTTTCTCCTTCTCGACGTTGCATAAAAGAATAAGTGTTTCGATTCCTAGGTGAGTTCC